CTTTATAAATAGTTCACTCTTCTCAGAGGTAAACAGACGGTACTCTATTCCTGTGATCAAAATCCCACACTACAAGGTGGGAGAAGAGCGTGGAGGAAGGTCTATTGGTACTGTACAGTTGAAGACAATATGATTTTTTTTTTTTCAAAAACGTTAAAAAATTTAATATTAAGAGACTGCTGCATGCTTTGGTTTTGTGATTAAGGATCAGAAACAATTAAGATTACTTCCAAAAACCTGCTATCATTAAAAGACAAGGAAGGAAAGTGAAGCCATGTCCCATGCCAACTTTCTATTACGTCAAATCCTCCCTTCTGCGTTGCCTCTCTCGGGACATGCCCATCACGGTTTGAACGTTGCATATACAGTTAACACTACAGAAACAGCAACTTCTGGAACACAGTTGTCACTATGTCACTATTGAGGACCAAGCTGTTTTTTTTTCCTGAAATCTAAAAGCGCAGTCAGCAGGTTCATGTTATGATCCAGTGAAAACTCCCAGTACTTGCCCTGAAGCAGCAAAGGAAAAGAAAGAGCTGCTAAGTCAAGCGACATTTACTCGAGAGTGGTATAGTTCACTTAGTGTTAAAGAATCAGGAGCTGGAACCACCAGTTAATATCAGACATTGAGATTAAAAAGTTGCACAGATATGAACATCTGATGGGAGTTGGAACAGAGGCAATTGTCTTCTGGTGATAGAGCAGAGGGAAGAGAAAGAGAAGGGTGACTTGTCTGAGAAGATATAATGCATAAGCAGTAGGTAAGGAGATAAGGAAGGCTAAGAAGATAATAAAAAGACGCACAAGACACAAAATCACAGCCTAGAACAAATTCTGCTAGCAAACAAAGCCTTTGGCAGCCAACCGACAGGAAGGAGGATGATTTTTGGTCTTTGTACAGTGAACTAATGAAGGGCATTATCATTCTATTCTTTTTATTTTTTTAAACTGTCAAAAAAAATTTATGCCATAAAAGCAACCTCTTTGTGAGATGAAATATAAATCATGCTGTGGGCAGAAATTTCAGTTACTTTTAAAATGGAAAAGATGTAATTTATTGGTGCGATAGAATGCTATTAACTTGCCGAAATTTATCAAAAGCATAACCTGAGTTAACATATTTGTTATAGTCACCAGGAAATAAAGATTAGGGTCAGAATTGATTCACTAACACCCAAAGCAGAAAAACAACAAACTTGGGAACATACACACTTTTCACGGTCTTCAGGTCACCTCTCAACAGAATGGAATCTCTTGGAATGAGAACAACGGCCTTGCAACCAACAGGAGATGCTCACATTGCCCACGTCCCACTCCCCTCCGAACTACCACAAACCTAAGAAAAAGATATCTTGCCATTGGCAAGGTTTTTTTTTTCCTCTGGCCTCAAAGGTAACATCTGAAATAATCTGTGTAAGGAACCTAGCACTTACAAGTTTTAACAAGCCACTTTGGGTTTTTGCAAGCAAAGAAAGAAGCTGCAGCGCTCTCTTTTGCATGGTTGCTGTGGAAACCATTTGGGCTCTAGGTGATGAGCCTGAGCTGTCAAGCATTGACTGTACATGGAGACTGCAGAAATCATGAAGTCTTCTTCAAAATGATGGGTTTTTAAAATTAATATATGCACGCTTGTGTTATACACATTTTGAAACACATCAGGAAATGTTTCTAACTATATATTCTGTATAAATAGTCTCCTAAGTTTAGGGAGCATTCTTGGTCCTTGTGTTGTAATAGGATCAGAGAGGCATAAAAGCGTGCTTTTTGCAAGGCATTTCGATATTGTCAACAAGTCAGTGTCTAGTGATGCAATCGGAGAACAATTCAAATGCATAAGACAACACTACAGAATTTTCCATGAGACAGCAATCCTAAATGTTCTTTGCAAGTTGGCATACTAGTTTTCTTAAACTTGTACACAAAACTTTAATAATATTTCAGTGACTGTAATAGTGAAACTGTTCTCCAAATGTATTTCTCTAGTAGGTAAGTCTGTGACAAACGGATGACCTTCTGTCCATGATGAAAATTCAGGGCATGCCTTGCATTCTATTTTCCTGGTATGGGTGAAAACAGAAAAGATCCTATCTGAGAAACTCCTTGAGTCCAATGCAAAGTCCAACTGAGTAAGCTTTGTATGAATGAACACTTCAGCTTTGACTGCTTTGAAAGCACTCAGCATTTTCTACACAGAAATCTGAGCTTCACAGCCTTCATCCTTTTCCAAATTGTGAAGCTTTTGCTGTATTAGTTGATACGCCTAGGCAGCAATGAACTCAATCAGCACATTCTTATAAAGCGTGACTTTACACATTTCTGTTTTGTAACAACAGAACTATGACTTGGATCAGAAGAGGACCTGTGCATTGCTCTTGAGGTATTCTCAGATTTCACTTAACTCTGAGAAGAGATAGCCAGATGACAGACTCTCTTTAACATACCTTAAAATTCTTCTGGGATTCAGGTGTTGGGCTATCAAGATCTATCAATTTCTTCAGGTCTTCTTCAACAGTAGACTTGGATGCTCGTTTGGGTGATGCTCGTAGATCTCTTGCTGAAGCACGCAGCCGAGGGTGGGCCATTTCATTGCCATCACTCTGGTGACGTCTTAAATGAAATGGAACAGACACATTCAGGTCTCAAAGCCCTGGGGCAGGAGGCATGAATGAAACAAAATTATAGCACGCTCAAGATTTTCAAAGAAAAAACCTAGGTAGGGGGCATGGAGGAGGGAAGGAGTTTCGCTAATACAGCAGAGCCTCATCTTAATGAATACCTGTTGAAGCAACAAACTGGTTTAAAAACGTCAACTAGCAATACACTTCAAGGTTATTGTAATACATTTTCCCAATAAAGGACTGAATCTATTTAAATAAAGTGTATTATGTACAAAACTAAAAAATAGAAATGTCTTCAATGAGCCCAAAAGCAGCAAATCACTAAGTTTCTTTGATCTTTTAACTGGCTTTTTATAATGCAGTTACCACAAAGTTTCACTGTCTCCTTTTGACAGCCAGTTAATGGTATCATCTAGGGATACTGTGCCTGACCCAATAAAAGTCAAGAAGGGTTGAATAATTTACTTTGCAATGGGCCTTCTGAACCACTTGCTTTCCAAGTCATACTAGACTTAGAGGAACGATATTTTCACTGGTAAGTTGTTTCTCAATTTCTCTTCCCAAAGAGACTGTTGCATATTGTAATGCAGAGAGCTTGCTTTAACCAGGTTAGACTGGATACTGGCAATAATCTTAACAAGGCAACATAGAGTGCCACAGAGCTAATGCATAGCACGCACAGTACTACTACATGGATGAGAGGCTTAAGGAAAATTCAGGCTCTACGTTAAAAGGATTTTAATATTTGCTCAAATAGCATTTTGAATCACCTTGAAGAAGTCCCAAGGAAAGATAAGCTTTAATAGGACTGAAATCCATACAGCTCACTAGAAATGATGAAAAAAATCTTGTACAAGTTAACAGGGAATGAGATTAGCTAACTATCAAATATTTAAGCCTAACTGCAGAACTCTAGATTAGAGATTAAGTTCTACAGAAGACTATGCATTCTATTAAATAGTCTTGATCTCTTCTATACAGAGAAGCATCACAGATCTCAGTGCTTCTTTACAATTAAAGCAAATAACCAAACAAGAGAACCAAAAAACAGACTTACTTTCTTGAATCCATAAACCCCACTGAGTTTATTGTCCCTTCTGGCTTTTTCCATCCGATCAGATACTTGCTAGTAGCACCCTGGCGAGGGTAGAAAGTCCTAGGACCAGATGAGGAGGAAGAGGAGGAGAAAGAAGGTGCGAGCTGGGGAGAAGTAGCAGAATGAAGCTCTTCTTTAGGTGAGCTTCTGGCACTGGTGAAAACCACCGGGCTGGCAGAGTGTCGCGAGCTCATGGTACTAGGAGAAAAACATAATGAAGACAAAATTTGCCTCAAATGTGTATATATGCATCTGAACTATTTTTTTAAAGCAGAACCCCAGGCACAAGATGTTACTCTTATCAATAGTGTGTAAAGTAGCAAACCCAGTTTGCTCTTCTTAAGGGCCTTCCATTGACCTTTCATTAAAACCCATCTCACATAGTAATAATAAATTTTGTAAGCAACTTCTAAGGATGCAATACACCACTGTCCCCTAATTCACCTTCACAAATGGGTAATGTGGGGTTCATGGTCATTAGGCAGCTTAAAAGTAACACAAGAGATTGTAGCTGAATTAGGAAAAAAAAAAAAAAAAACACAACCCAAAATAAGCCAAGACGAATTTCTAGCTGGAATTCCTGGCTGTGGAAGAAAATATATTTTGAAGGAACTTAAGCAACAGGAAACATTTTTTTAAGACCCCAGAACAAACCAAAGAAGAAACGCACACATCTTTCAAAAGAGGGCTTCCTGGATTTTGCCTGAAAAGAAGTCACCATTTGCCAAAAAAGAGTCTTAAATTGAGAAGTCTGAGCAGGTCTCTAACATAGGTCAAAATTTGTCTAGACAGAAAAAAGAGTTGAGATGACCAGCTGCAGGTGATCGTTGGAAGATGGAGGTGGGCTTTAGATGGGTGCTACTCTTTAGTTAGGCTGATACTCAAATCTGATGCAACTCGCATAATATCAGGAACACTAGGGCTTAAGACAATATTTACTATAACAACCTTAAAAGGTCGGGCATTTCTAAGTACAGCTACAGGAAAACTTTGTCTACAGCCTTAGTACTGAAATAGCATTTTATATTTGGACACCAGTTTTCTATCAGCTCTCTACACAACTTCGCCACATTTTCATCCCTGTGTCCAACACTGCAAGGAAGGAATTTGAAACAGATGGCCCCATGGTAAAGAATAGTTTCTGACTGAGAAATAAAAAGTAGCTGGAAGGCTGAATAAAGTCACTAAATAATCTTTTCTTTCTTAGCTTAACAGAAAATTCTTTACCACTCTTTTCATATCTTGATAAAACAATGCATTTTCACATCTCTCTTACTGAAATAGAAAAAAGATTTAAAGTTAAATTTATGTTGCCACCTGGGAAAATAATCTCACCTACATTTAGCCTTACGAAGTCAGTTATCTAATTTATGCCACGTGTCGGGCTACTGCCGTAGTCAATGGAGAAATATCCTTGGGAGGCGATTCTCCTCATCTAAAATTAGGTGTCTCAAATACACAGAGAGAATTAACGCTTCGGAGTTTCTCCTCTCTCTCCATTGACAACAGATTGAGTCTAAAAAAATCACTTTCAACTACGTGTCATTTTCATACAGCTCAAGTTAAGCACCACGAGTGCCAGCAGTTAAGTGCTGTGGATTTAATGAGGAGTCTGAGTGGCCTGTGGTCTTCCCACCTCAAACAGCACCAGCTGCTGCAGCCCATGCTTCCATCTAATGTACATGGGGTGGCTGTGAAGTCCCTCACATCAGGGGCAAGATGCATCTCCCCATATGTATGCAAATGAAATTACAGTAATACAGATTTTGTATTATAGAGTATTTTTTCTTTTTCCCTCCATCTGTACATTTGAAAGGCCTATACAAAAGACGGCAGATTGGGAAAATATAGAAGAGATTTTCTTGTCTATCAAGCCTGTGTCTTTGGCGCTGCACATCACAACGTTCGTATTTGTAAGGGATATAAGTAAACATAATTTATGGCAAGAAAACAGAGAAAAATAAGAGCTAGAGGGAGAGGCAGTAAATTTCTCTTCATTTCCCCTTCTCTCTTTTTCAACACTGAAAGAAAACTCCTACACATGCTGAGTAAACCAGCCCATCTGTGAGGCATCACCACTGCAAAATTAAACCGCCAAGAATTGGGGAAGATGCACATCGTTAAAGAAAAGGTAGGGGGCTATTTTTTTTTTTTTTTTTCATTTTTACCCCCTTCTAAATACAGTCAAGAAGTGGAAGTCATTTGCTTCAGTGTATGAAAAGCAAAGTTCTGATCCCATTTCAGAATTCTTAAATCCATCAGGTAGTTCTCAAGGAAGTGCTACTTGTGAGAAAACATTTCTTGATAAAAACCACTAACAGCTCCTAGACAGGCTGGTAATGTTGATCCTTAATATTACGAGGCAAAGAGGGTAAAAAATGATGTTCAGTATGCTCTACATAAAATGTATATACAAATGCATATGTATATATTAAAATAATTGTAACATTTTATTATATATCATATTGTATTTACACACTGTTATTTTAAGCATTATTACTTTAATATTTATTATAATATGTATCATATAATAGATGCCAAGAGCAGCCTGGCAAATAAGCAAGAAAATTAGCATACCGGTTTAAATACACTTTTCTTTAAAGTGTATTGCATATTTTGAGCTGTGGTTTTACAATATAGTATTTTGGGAGGATATTCTGCTTCAGGAACTATGCACACACCTATGGATATGACTGAAGCTTTTCACCCTACAAGTAAACACAGGCAGGCCAATAGGATACTGACAGATAGAGATGCACTTGTTAATTAAGAGCATATTTGGAGAGCAAAAGGCTTTGGATGAAGTCTGGAAAGGCTAAATTGGAGCTGGAGCACTGTGGTAGCGATGGGAAGTTATTAGAGTCTTCAACACCAGGAAGCATGCAGAGGATACTGTAACCAAGACCTGGACCAGCTTGACTATATCCAGAGGAAATTCAGTCCTCAGTCTCAGGAAACAGATAGCCACTGTAAATGCCCCACCTTAATTATTGACACATCAAGGATTAAATTAAGGAAAAAATCAAATACTACATGACAATCTGCAAGAATTGCATATAAGCCATTCATAGAAGTATTCTACAATCATCAAATAATATTTTAAGTGTCTTAAAATTATTGGAAGTCATGAAAAAGCTATTTGTTTAGAAATAGCCATGATTTTCCTTTTAGGTTTGGTAAGAGGACCATAAGAAACCGTGTAGTTTAGGTGGAAATGAAAGTTTGATTTTATTTTTTTTCTAGGGAATTCATGCCATCAGCGCATATGGCTTCATTTAATGACATTCAGCTATAATGATTCTGTATAATTACTGGCCTACATAATGCAATTCTCCTGGGATGCTATGAGAAATCTGCACAATCATCAGGAAGGACTTTTGGAATGGGGGTGGAGAAGAAAAATAAAACCCAGCCAGAAGCTCTGCTATAGAAGTTAATCACTATAATTTACATTTTGCCACCAATTCTCAGGTACAAGTTCTTTTATGCACCATCAAATGATCTGAACACTAATTATCGCGCCTGTCTTCTACAGACACAAACACTCTAATTTGTGGTTCTTTTCTTTTCTTTTGTCACCGAGTTCTTTTTAGGGCCAAATTCCTTTTCTTCTTGCTCAGAAATCTGACTCTAAAGACGTTACAGACATTCTGGCATCCACAGGCAAAAGGTAAAAAAGTGAGAAGCAACAAAGGATAACAATTTAGAAACACACCAATTAAGCTGTTCATTTCTCCCGAAAAGTAGCCTGTTCAGAATTATCCTTTAGTCTCCCCTCCTGCACCTCCTTGAAGCAGGCAGCTGTGGTTACATTTTGGAAGTGCCACTTTAACAAGCCTCCAGCTCCAAGCTGTTTCGCCCCCATAGAAAGAGCTATGGGAGAGCTGGAGCAAACAGCTGGACCCAGGGTCTCCTCAGGTCAGCGCTGCTGTTCAGTAAGCAGCCACCAACGCCATGAGAAACAAAATGAAAGCTTTTTAGCCCAGACTGTGCCTTTGCTTTTATTATGAGGCATCAAACACATGTTCTAGTCTTCAAAAATTAGAAATAATAAAGAAGGAACACAAGTCAGTCTGTTTTTTCTCCACCAAAATAAACGATGTGGGTGCAAGGACTGCAGCATTTCTCAAGTCTCTTGCCCCATGTGTTCTACAAATTGCTACTACTCCTCTTTGCAAAGAGCTGCATTTTTAACATCTCATTTTAAAATGAAACTGGGAAAAAAACCCCAACTGTTTTCTCAAGCACAGAGCCTAGGGAACCTTTATCTGGAAATTTTAGTAACAGCTCCAAAAAAACACGTCGAGAACCATTTCAGTATCATCGCATACATTAATCCAAATCAACCAGAGAAAACAGCATGTTTGGAGACACAATGCTATCATATAATAAATAATGAGCCAGCACCCTAGACTTTGCCATCAAGTTGCAAAGTATATCCATGGAAGACAAAGATGAGAGCTGTCGGGGTACGCCTGACCTGCAAAGATGTATTTCTTTCTACTAAATTTTCTTGGGTTTTCTACTGAACCCTATTTGGCGCTCAGAGAAGCGGAAACCAGAACCTCTGATGTACAAAGATGCCATTCCCATTAGGCACACCTTTACAATAAAGCTTCCAAGAGTTACGTATAAGCTTTCCAGGCTTCCTTGAGTCACTTCTGAAAAAAACCCTTCCACATGGAAATGCTACTGACAAGCTTATTCCAATCAGCATTTTGTACAAGAATCTCACATTTAGTGCTACCACTAGTTACATTCAGACAAGTATCGCAGGGCACGTGGTAAATTCTAGTGGACATTAAAAAAATGCATCTAAACATGCTTGCCTTAGAATAAAGGGTATAAAACAGTAGATAATCACCATATAGACTTTTACCTTCAAAAAAGGGGCACACGCTAACATTGCCCAAAATCTAAGTAAACCCCTCTGCATAATGTTTTCTACAGACTTGCTCAAGTCCTTCACGCATGCATAGCTACTAGAAACACCAGTTTTAAAGACCTGGGTGGGATTTATACCAACTGACTATGAGCTTTAGTGCCAAAAATGGCCAACCAAGAGAGGCAGAAAACAGAATGGGACCAGCATCAGTAGATTACTTAGTCAAAATTACCATGACAAACTACATAGAGACCGTTCACTACATTACAGTCTCTATGACAACCCCCTATTTGCAGCTACTGCATGAGGAGTTGTTAAACTGTCTGATAAACGTCTAGTCTTGCATATACGTAGCTTTGCTTGAAATGATTAGCAAAAACTACTTCACACTTAGAGCCTGTAGGTATTTTAGCTGCACACTCAAAACAGATGTGCCTTAAGTATAAAGAATGCAACAGTCAGGCTCCACAGGGCCTGACAAATTACGATGACCACACATCTTCCTTGAAAGAGCTGTGTTTTTTTCTTGTTGCTAATATAACACAGTATGACTATTTTTCAAAAAGTGCAGAATGCTTCTTGCGAAATGGGTTAGCAAAATGGTCTAAAATATTTTCTGCCTCTAGCAGCTCTGATTAACTTGTAAATTGGCTATCTTCCATCTGAGGTGTTCAAGCACATTATACACTTACATGATATTGCCAATTTTACAAGTGGTAAAACTGAGGGAGAAAGGGAAGGTGACTGTAACGTGTCACACCCACAAGCTTGCAGCCGAAAGAGATTAAAATCTACATGCTAGCACTCCCAAAGCAACTTGCTCTCAGTCTTGATCATACTGACTGCAAGCAGATTTCTAAACAAAAAGACTAGCGAAAAAAAATGTAAAACATCTGAAACGCGTACTGAGAACCTCAAATTAAACACACATATTAAATATTATGTGCATTTATAACATGGATTGATCTCGTTTCTGATCCGTATATGAACTCAAGTTTTTGCAAGATATTCCTTATAAACACATCAGACACGTGTCTGTCATGTTAGTTTAGTAGCAGCAGTATGGAATATTCTCTCAAAGACACTCTTAAGTGTCATAAGCAGTAGCAGATGCAAAGACTAAAGGCGGTTTTAATTTTCAAGTATTCTGCGCATTGAGATCTCTCAAAACTCTGGTTAACATAAGCAGAAACCTCTCTTCAACATCCACTTCTCACTGTTGATAGGCTAGAGAGTGAGAACGGGAAAAATGAGAGTGGAGGGGTCAATCTCATAAGAGGTGAAAATTACCTTGTATGCGAGACGGCATCACTAAGACTGTAAGCGCTGTTCTCCCTCGTTAGAGGATTGGAGGCTGGTTGACTCTTGCTGTGAATATCCAGGCTCAGTGAAGACTCGGTCTTTCGATCTATATGGCTCTCTTTTTCCAATGTCCTGTCTGCAATGGAGACCACTTCGCTGGAGCTATGCCACAGCGGTGCCACTTTCTCCTTTGTTAGCCCCGTACGGGGAGATGTTGCTGCTCCCAGGGAGGCAGTGCTGCCATGGCTAGGTCCGTAGGAAGTGGTATCTATGCCACTATCAGCTGAAGTCCCTTGAAGGTAGTTGTAGCTGTTCAGCTCTGATTCCGTGCGCTCTCCACTATCATACCATTTCTCATCACTGTGAGCACTGGAGGCATTGCTGGAGAGAGTATTGCTGCTGGAATGGCTGGAGTAGTGGCTGTCAGACTACACTAGAAACAGCAAACCAAAAAAAAACAAAACCAAAAAACAACCCACACTTGTAGGTTTATTCCAGAATTATGGCAATAAAGAGGAGGAAATAAACGATTACAAAAGTCACTACTGCACAACAGGGGCTCTTCTACCTTGAGGTATTGGATAGATACATTGAGGAGAGTAATAAGCTCTAAAAATTTCATTCCAACACAATGCATGCGCTCTGTTCTGGGTGCACGTAAAAAGCTTTCATATGATTTGGAAGCCATGTCTTAACTATTCAGGGAAAGACAGAGATGTTTGTATTTTGTCCCAAAATATTTCACACTGTTTTCTTTCAAGCCCAGTTCTACTCAGCCCAGTCCAATGAAATTGGCTGAGCTGTGTAGACTTTGACTTGGTTTATAACTACTATAATTACAAATATTCTAATTTTAAGACTCCAGCATTTTAGAACATGAAACATAACTAATCCACAGAAAGTGCACGTGTTATTTTAATAATCCAATTGCCTATCCAGAGGTTAAAGCAGGGCAAAATAACCACTGCTCTTCCTATCCCTTTGTAGTAGGGTATATTTCCTCCTCAGCAGGAGTGTTCTTTGCAAATGGCCATTTAATTAATCCAAAATTGTTTTCCAAAAGGCAAAATTGCAAGAAAGGAAGCTTTAACGCAATGCTTTGAAATTGTCCCATCAGGGCGTGCCAGTGTCTGGCTGGTTTGTGTGTTCTGTCCTTGGTTACAGCCAGCTGTTATGAAGAAACTGAATGTCCTCAATTCCATAGTGGGCATTGGTGGAATATCCCATTATAGGAAGAATTTCTTGCCATGTATCTCATCATTGCTTAGTAGCTCACCTACCTTCGGTGTATTTATAGTCATCTGAATTCCTTAATTTTATTTTCCATCTACAGAATTTACCTAAGCTCTGATCATCTATATAATCAGAACTGAAGCAGTTTTTTGGTAGACAGTGGACTTGTTCGGTGACCAGATGGTCCAGGAACAAGGGGAGGGATGGGAAGGAAACACCTTTCCCATTTTTCTACCCCTGGAGTTTTACCAAACAGGCATGGGCAGAGATCCCAGCCAAAGAGAAAAGATTAGATAGTTTCTGTCTTCACTGGAAAAGAGGGAAAATAGAAAATAGATGTATACAGAGATCAAGAAGTTTCAGCATCCACATTTCTTATTATACTAAAGCAAGAATTGACAGAAAAACAGGCAGAATATTAAGTTGATCTGGACTCCTAGTTATCTGCAATTAAAGTTACTGCTCTTCATTAGGAACTCCATCACTCCCCCATCCATCTGTCTACATAATAAAGATTTACTTTAACAATGACTAAATGAGAAGAATGCAAGCATTAATAATTCCAGTGCTACACTTTGCAAGCTAATGAGTTATGTATTACATCATTATATGGTCAAGTACATCTCATGGAAAACAGGTCAATCTAAATATAAAAACCAGTTTGTGCTCCTAAGAATATGAAGACAGGTGTGTTGTTGAGGGTTTTTTTTGTTTGTTTTTTTTTTTTCCCTAAATAACAAAGATGTGTTGTTATGAATTAATAACCTAAAAGCAACGCTTGCAATTGTATTGAAAGAAGAATGCTGGTAAGCAGGAGCAAATAACAGGAAACAATTAAAGACTTTCTCACACCTTAATAAATGCAACTAATACTTTCAGTATAATTATGCAACACAACTCCATATTTTAGCTGACTGTACAAATAAATAAAAACCCCAAGTGATACAGCTCATTGGGTAATTTAAAGTTTAAAGGGTGGGTTTTTTTTTTTGAGTCTGGTGACTTAAATAATCTTCAAGGCATTTTACATTTATGAATATTACTGCATTTATCTATGTCTCTGTATGTAAATCAGGAAGTGACAGTCTCCAAAAGGTGTGAATATCTAACGCTGCAGAGGCAGAAAGGCAGAATTTACCACTTAGACGCTAAACACAA